AACTGAAACACCAAATAATTGGATTTTTTTAGGTCCAAAGGCATAGCTTCGATCGTACCCAAAACAAAAGTTGACCTAGATACTGTATACAGGGTTATTTTCGCCCTTACACACTTGCAAACAATTTTGCCCCATTTTAAATTCGCCAAGTCATAATTTTGTTTAAGAAATTATACTGTATTCTTTGATTTCGCCCCGTTTTGAATTCGCCCAAATAAGAATAGGGCGAAAATAAAACGGGGGCGAAAATTTCCCTGTATACAGTATTCTTATTAGAAATCTTTATACCAAAATTTCATTTCGGTAGCTCCAACCACTGCGAAGACAATGAACGTCTAAGGGGCATAACTCTGTCGAAAAAAACTTAGATCATACCCCAAACAGATCTTTACATAGATATCCTTATAAAAATCTGCATATGCTAAAAAACAAATTTCATTTAGAATGCGCAACTATTGCGAAGGAAATGAACGGAAACTAAGTGGACCGATCGACAGATAGCAGCAAAGCAATGTCCTTCTTCGAAGAAGTGCATATTAAAGATAACATACAAGTCTGATAAAGCCAAGATAACCAGCACTTTTTGATCTCAAAAACCTACAAGCAATAAAATTTAGTGAATAGGCCATTATTAATGAATCCAGGAAATATCGCTGATTTATACTGTTAACGTGCCAAGAATTATGCGTGATTGTGCCGAGTTATTGTCATCAAAGTATTGAAAGAACTGAAAGCCGGGCTTTAATTGCTCGATTATATTGTCTGATCCGAAATTAGTACATATTAATTTTTTTTCTTTTAACCATTGATTTTTAACCGGTAGAACTTGTATGATTATGATTTAAAACAATATCCCATATACCAGTAATTAAAATAAACAGTCCAGACCCCAAGATAAGTTATGATTTTAAAATTTAATAAATAAAATATTTCCAAGAAATTCTCGCATATTTTCTATTCAATAAACACTTTTTCTTATAATTTAAAAATTCAGTCTTTGAATAGTTAAAATAATGCACATGTGTATTTCATAGACATTCTTTAGTTTTAAATAAACAATACATTGTACTTTTATCGCCAACTACATGTAGAAATACTGATGCATGTACATGTACATTGTCAAGCGACTTAAAGTTCAAGCATGCTAATTCTTTTAATTCAAATTCACTGCAATATTAATTTGCTAAAAATCAAAACAGACTATAACCACTATCATAACATTGACGAAAACGATATGAAACGAAACTCTTCAAGAATTTCAACATTTCAAAAAGCCCGCGCTATTGAAAATTGTTCGCTTACAATATGCATTTAGCAGTGTATGTGCACAAATTGTTATATCAAGATTATTCCAATAAAGAAAATATTTAATTTCTCTTTTAGTTTAATTCTCTAGCAAAAATATTGATCATTAACTTTTCCAACGATTGGGATGTAAAATATAAATAGCGTCCCGCAATGGGACTATTTTGTGTATCGGAGGCGTCTTCTTTGACGCTGATTTTTTTTGTTTACTGTGTTATTTATAGTAAGACAGTGGATCATGACGCCTAGAGCCAGGACTTTGCTTTCAGCAAAGCCCGGCTAATAAGCTGATTAATGCTTGCAGTATAACTGATATCCCATCAGCAATGAACGGATACATAATAATTCATTTATATGATTTAACTTATCATTTCTTTTTCTTCTTTTAAGGAAAAGGATCATTTTTAGGTCCTCAAAAAGGAAAAAAATTCAAAGAAGACTAATATGTGCCGCTGAATTTAGCAGTTTCAAAACTAACAACGATTTAAAAAGTTTTACATCATCCTTGAATGAAACATTAAACAGATTATCAGTATTAAAGTTCAAGGTCAGATTAAGCAATTTCGAATCTAGATCACAGCAAACACGGATCTTTAAAAACACAAGACGTAGACAAAGTGAATTAAGGTAAAATGATCCAAAAGCTTTCGTATATTTTCATCAAACTTCTCTTCGATTACGGAAATGGATTGTTCCGTTCTAATGTTAACATCTTCCTGCTCCGCGGAAAAAACAAAAACATTCAGTATTCAAAGATTGCAGTCACATAGCATAAAATGGTTAAAGTTTCTATTTAAGATTTTTAACATTCATATGCTTTTCTAATACAGATTCATTATCTTTACAATATGATAAAGAAAATATATACTGTTTAATACTAACAACTGATACATTTCCATTATATTTTTCATTACTTAGAAAAGGAGATGCAATTTACCGTTTTTGTCCAGTCTCCTGAACGACTAGAAGCCGTTTGTTGATCTGTTACATGTAGTCAGTGAACTTTACTGATATACTCTTCATTCTTCAAGTTCACATAATCGTTCCCTTGACCTCTTTTTGCACTCCTTGAAACATTCTTACAGTTACTGTTATCTCCATTATATTGGCCCAATTCTAGTCATGTCTTTTTCATGTTAAACATAAAGTGGATGTTTGTTTATTAACTTTGGTTTTAAACTAGGCATGATTCGATTTTGTTTAATTTACAATATTTCAGTTGTACCCTCAGCAGCAAAAATAATTAATCCTCGGAAGTCCATTTATATAATTTTATTTGTCAAGTTTATTTTAAATTCTTCAAAGCAAATCAATCAATATATTAAAATTGTATTTGAATTATTTTTATATAGGCTATCCTAAGTTTAAAAAAAAGAGGTGATTTGTTTTTTTATTCAAAATTTAATTATTTTTTTAACGAGGGTGCCAAGTTCTCGCTTAAAATTAATAGCGCTTTATTTGTAATGGCTTCTTTAGTGAGCTTTTTCAATAGCTAAAATTACATCTCACTAACAGTAAAATACCAATTTTTTTAAGGACAAATCGCTTGATTTCCGTCTCGCTTAAATTTCAAATTATACGGTAAATTATGAATCATATGTAATATGTAAAGCAGTGTATTTTTTTTTTATATAGATTTTGTCAATCTGTGATTCGCAATACAAAAAAGACCATTGGAGCTTACGTTCTTATACATACGAGTTTATTTTCCTGTTTTATTATTCAACTATGACTATTGTAACCAAAAAAAATCCGATTTAGTACATGCATCAGAAACACACAGAATTGAAAAAAATGACATTTACACGGTTAATGCGGTCTCGGCCTTTCCTAGCTGTAGCGTGATTTCAATCCCGCGACGTAAGATGTTTAATGTGCGACGCTATACCCATGCAAGCTGTAACTAATGATCTTTCTAAAATATAACGGACAGTGAATATTATTTTATAGTCATCTTAAAATGACATTAATATTTTAAACGAAATTATCTCTTGTATATATTTATTATAAGAATTGGATTAGATTTTTCTTAATTTTAATTTTCTGCATTGTCAGGAACATACTGTTTGCCTGTAAATTATATATTTACTACAACAATTTCACGTTATATTCTTACCGACTGATTTATGAACTATTTCGAACCAGATTTACTTTTCACCCGATATGACCCCATTTCCCCTTATCTTGTTGATAATCGGCTATATCTTATCATGTATAGTAACCCCAAATAGAATGTATAAATCATGTATAAATAAAACTTTTTTGAAATTAACATTAGTTGCCATTAATGTGATCGAAATTTAGAAACATAGGTAATCAAATATTACGAAGCTCACCTCGACGAATGTTATCAGTTTAAGTAACAGATTACACCATAGAAACCGAGGTCCCCTGACGCAGTAGAGGCTAGCACGAAAAAGGATCCCTCCCTGCTCAATGACCCTGAGTGCCGAGTATATATTGGACAAAATTTGCAGCTCTCCACCATCAATGGTGGCGTCTCCACATGAGGGAAAACTTATAGAAATGGACGTTAAGCAATATACAATCAATTAATCAGATATTCAAACACATGAAGAAAAAATGGCGGTTTAAGAAATGACTGAAATGGTTATCAGAAATGTAGTTGTTCTCTAGTAATATATTTCAAATTGATGGAAAGTAAGATCGTGACTGACACATGCCAAATCTCATTGACAGGTCTTAAGAACTGTAAGACAACAATACTGGTCAACAGGTCTGAGATCAACATGATCGCCGATATATAAATACAAACGATGAAATCTTTGCCTTTGCACAATTAAAGATAAAGAAAAACATATACAATTTATTTTCAAAAAGGAAATTTATTATGACTACAATTATAGTATAGAATAGAGACAAAATAAGATTAAAGTCAACATAATAATTATGTTTTAAGATGTACAACAATCAGGTTTAAATTTAAAATACGCAAAAAAAAAAAAAATTCTGTTAGTCTTTTAAAATAGAGTAATTACTCAACTTAGATAGGAAACAAGGAAATTTTATGTTAGGTGTGATCGTTAATAAGTTTTTTTTTCAAATGCATGGGCATTTTCTCAAAAGAATTTATGAAGGAAAACTCCGAGTGTTAGAGACAGCCAGCTGAGGAGCGTCATCACGGAACCACCACCGGAAGTGGAACCTGGTAAAAAGTAGAACAGAAACATTATTGATGGTTTAAACAGTATAGCATTTATCACATATATATTTTGTCAAAAGGGTAGAGTATTTACAAAAATAAAACTGTTAATCATGCATACATTGCTATGTATATATTTTGTTGAGTGGGTTTTATGCAATTTACACTCTAATATAATTCTTTTCAATGTAGACAATTTTTTTCCGTAATGATTTAATGAATCATTCTGCGTTAAACACGTCAACATTAAAATATCGATGAAATGTAACTTGGGAGGGGGGATGCTTAGAGATACATTTTGCATTGCTTACATCCGTACTGCGACAAGGACTTTTTGGCGGTTTGTACAGTGGCGCTGACATCCACACCACAGTCAGAGGCGGCCTGATTTAAACAGTTCAGGTAAGTATTGTAGGCACTGCAATACAAAAAAACAGATCTATATAATAAAACAACTCGCTATAAGATTTGTAAGCAAAATGATATTGTCTGTCTCTTTTGTATGGGAAGCTAGAGCAAATGGAATATACATTTAAAGGAAACATCAGCGTTTAAAGCAACATATTTCAATTAAAGATAATGAAGTGACCAATAACAATGAGAGAAATAAAATAAGGGTATTTCACACTTTATTTTTATTACCTTCATTTTACATGGCTGGGTATATTCAGTACGCTCTGACCATATGACAGCCTGAGCATAGAGTACGTTATAATTTCAAGAATTTGTATTGATAACTTGCAGAGAAAACTGCAACTGAAACTTGGTACAGATAGACGCTCGGATAAACATGAATTCGACATCAGAGTCGTACAAAAATAAACCACCATGTGGCAAAGAATGCTCAAATTTCAAATATTTGCAATGAGTGGTTGCTGAGTTTTGGATAGATACACGGATACAAACAGATGCAAAAGGTAAAACAATAGACCCCTTCCCCTTTGTAGCACTAGTATACTAATTTAATCCATGTTTAAATTTTATTAGTAAACTGAATAAGTGTTACAGGATAAATTTTTATTTTTTCATTGAAGTTTTACAATTATTGTATTTCAAGTGACAAATAATGTTTTGATTTATTAGGATTGTTGCATAATGGAATAATTTGTAAACATCAAAAAACCTTCTTTTTTGTTTACTGAAGTGATTTTTTTTCGTATTATTTACAGTAAAATATATTCCACAAATATTCCAATCAATTTTTCATTTGCATCATCATTCCATGAATTGAACTTTAGTGTTTGTTTATCTGTATGTTGTCAACTTTAACATAGCCCATAACTATTGCACTGTCAAGGGTAAGGCTTTAATATTTGACATGAGTGTTCTTTATGACAAGTCCTTTCCATTGGTACAGAAATAGTTGACCATATGAACTTCTGGGACCTTGACCTTTGTAGTTTGACATGCATTTGAGAAAATTTAACCCTCGTCTTAAGGTGCCATACAGGGGCATCAGTGTTTCACAAACACATCTTCTGTTATTTAACATTAGAAATAAAATCATCTACCTGCATAGTTTGCTTGTGTCCTGGCCAGCTCCTTGTAAAGCAGTGGTTATGGCGGAGGTACAAGTCGTTAGCTGGCTACAGCTCTGCGCCTCAGCTGAACAAAAAAGATATAACTGAATTATTCCTGCAGCATTAGTTTAAATTCATATGTGCTTATTGTCATTTCCTTCTTGTTTGGAACAAACATTTATTTAAACAAGAGGCCCACGGGCCTTATAGTTCACCTGAGTATCATGTAACAACTTTCAAACAATTGAATTTGGTTTGTGTTTTACACAAGAGGCAATGAAATTCACAATTTTGAAAGAGGCACCACTGCGTATCATAATTATACACTTAGCATGCTTACTCTAGTTACTTAATACCCAGAGGTAGATCAGAGTAAAAAGAGAAAATGCATTTCCACTTCATAACCAGTTGTTCACCTCACCCCAAAGGAACCATTGACCCTGGGGCCACATGTTTCAAAATTTTGGAAATTTTATCATTAAAATCATTTTATAATAAATGGTTTGTCAATACCAAAGAACAGATTTCAAAGCAATATTTTAATTTCAGGCAATGTTAACCCCCCCCCCCCGATATCCGAGACTCAGGGGGTATGAAATTAACCATTTTGCTAAATGCACCCTTCTTCATCATAAATATATATACTTAGATCATTGGCATGATACCCAGGAGCGAAGGAAAATATTTTCAAAGAATTCATGCATTTTCACTATATAATCATTAGAGACCCGTCTTAACACCAGAACACCTGACCCAGGGGCCATGAAATTGCCAATTTTGGAAGTCATCCTTCATCATAATAACTATGTTCATAGTTCATTGGTTTAATACCCAGGAGCAGTGAAGAATATTTTTAAAGAATCAGTGTATTTTCACTATGTAATCAATAGAACCCCGCCCTAAGACCACAACCCCAAACCTAGGCCAGTCACAATTTTGGAAGATGAACTCTTTCTTATCATTACTATATACTTAGTTAGTTTGTTTAATACCCAGGAGCAAAGGAAAAGATTTTAAAGAAGTAATGTATTTTTACTATATAATCAAAAGGTACCCCCTTTCACTAAAAACCCCTGACCCAGGGGGCATGGAATTCACAAATCTGGTTGAAGCACTCTTGCTCATAATAACTATATAAGAAGTTAGTTTATTTGATACCCAGGATCAGAGAAGATTTTGAAGAATTGATGCATTTTTCTCTTTCTAATCAATAGGGCTCCGCCCTTACACCAGAACACCTGACCCAGGGGCTATAAAGTTTACAATTTTCGATGAGGCACTTTTTGTTCATCTTAACTTCGTTCTTGGTTTCTTTTGTTTAATTTCCAGGAGCAGAGGAGAATTTTAAAGAAATAATGCACTTTTACAATATGATCTATATAGCCTTACCCTAACACCAGAACCTCCGACCCAGGGACCATGAATTTCACAATTTTGGTTTTAAAAAAGCAATGCTGATTACAATCATGCCAACTGTTTGACTGCTTGACGTACATGAGTATAGAAGATTTTTAAAGATTGCATTAATTTTAGTGGTTTTGGCCCCACCCCTCAGGCCTCAGTGGGGCAGGGACCATGAAATTCACAATTATTGTTCCCCTCCTCCTATAGAGGCTGTATACCAAATTTAGTTGAAATTGGTTCAGTGGTTCCAGAGAAGAAGCTAAAAATGTTAATAGTTTACGAATGATGTACGACGACGTACGAGAACAGATAGCAATATACTCAGGTGATTTAAAAATGGATTGTCCAAGGTTTGTTCCTATCTTTTTCTACCTAACATTTTACTACAGTGAAAACAAATGTCAACATCACAACTTTTGTTATAAACGTAGAGAATATTCATTGAAGGCTGGTCCCCACCTGTCTAAAATAGGTCGCAGCAAAGTTGAATCATGTTTTATGATGATGGTAAAACTATAAAGTCAAATAATTGGTCAGTCTAAGAAAGTTTTTTTCCTCCGATCATGGCAAGGAGCACACGGCGGGTTTGACCGGTCGGCAGGAGATGTTCACTCCTCCATGGCACCTGAACCGACCTCTGATGTTTTGTAGGTCTGTGTTTGCTCTGCTCCAATTTTGTACTGTTTAATGAACTTTTGGGCTAGCATACTGTTTGTTATCTCCATATATATGTTATACCAAAAGTATATATGTTATACCAAAAGTACTGGTTGCTAAACCACCATAACCACCAGGCAGATTTTCACCACAAGGATCAGGATATGTCGAAGATTAAAAGCTGCACGGGAATTACCCTGGGGCAAAGGGCGTGGTCTCAAGGTCACTTCAAAGTTGACCTAAATTTACAATTCATAAAACCGTGTATATTTTGCTTACTATAAAGACTAGGATCATCAAATCTTGTAAGTTGATGCATCTGACGACTTCACATCATGTTAACTCAAAAGTAGGTCACGGTGACCTACTTTTTCAAATTTTGCGGTGATTTGTTTTCGAATTGATTTGAAGGCATATTTTGGACACTTTAAGGCCTATGATCATTAAACTTTGTCAGTTGATGCATCTTGGGCTTGAACAAGGTCAAGTTAAAAGTAGGTCACCGTGACCTACTTTTTAAACTTCATAACTTGTCCTTTAAAAACATTAAATCCCATTATTTAAGACACTGGGAGGTTTAGAATCATCAAATCTTGTACTTTGATGCATCTTGGGACCTTAAAACATATTTTTGAAAAAGTAGGTCACAGTGACCTACTTTTTGAATTTTGCAAATATTTGTTTTCAAATTGTTTAAAACACATATTTTGATAACCTTCAGATATACGATCATCAAACTTGGTCAGTAGATGCATCTTGGGTCTTTGAAAAATGTCGACCAAAATGTAGGTCACGATGACCTACTTTCGACATTTTATTGCTATATTAAGTATCTTAGGTATTTATTGGCTTACAATCATCAAACTTTGTGAGTGGATGCATATTTGGTTTTCGGAGAGTGACGACCAAAAAGTAAATCACGGTGACCTACTTTTGACATTGTATGGATTTATTTATCTCCGGTACTTATTGGCTTAGAATCATTAAACTTTGTGAGTTGATGCATCTTGGGTTTTCGGAGAGTGACGATTAAAAAGTAGTCATGGTGACCTACTTCTGACTTTTTGTGGCTATAATTAAGTATATCTGGTACTTATTGACCTAAAATCATCAAACTTTGTCAGTTGATGCATCTTGGGTTTTCGGAGAATGTCGACCAAAAAGTAGGTCACGGTGACCTACTTTTGAATATCTCAGGTACGTATTAGCTTGGAATCATCAAACTATGTCAGTTTAGGCACCTTGGGTTTTTGGAGAACGTCGACCAAAAAGTAGGTCACTGTGACCTACTTTTGACATTTTATGGCTATATTTAATTATATTTGGTACTTATTGGCTCGGAATCATCAAACTTTGTCAATTGAGGCATTTTACACATTGACCTATTTTTGAATATCTCAGGTACTAATTAGCTTAGAATCATCAAATTTTGTCAGTTTAGGCATCTTGGGTTTTGGATAACGTCGATAAAAAAGTAGGTCACCATGACCTACTTTTGACATTTAATGGATATATGTAATTATCTCTGGTACTAATTGCCTTAGAATCGTCAAACTTTGTCAGATGATGCATCTTGGGTTTTCAAAGAATGTTGACCTACTTTTGAATATCTCAGGTATTTATTTAATTAGAATCATCAGTCTTTGTCAATTAATGTATCTTGATTCCTCAGAAAATTTCAATCAAAAGGTAGGTCACTGTGACCTACTTATGGTATTTTATAATTATATTATAATATCTTCAGTCTTAACTGGCTAAATATTGTCAATCTTTGTCAGTTGATGCATTTTGGGTCTTATGATACTAATAGAGTTAAAGGCTTCTAATAGAAGTGATAGATTGTACAATTTATCAGAAGAGCGATTCAAGGCCCTTGGGCCTCTTGTTTGCACAATAATGTCTTTCATTGTTAGTTTCTTTCACATAAGTTGCCCCTCTTTCAGCAGGTTACCTTCCCCAACTTTCAAAAACGATACTACCTCACTGATTATTTTTTACTGATGTTAATTGCTTATACTCTGTAATCTGACTTACCGTGTTTGATGACACTGATTGACATCAGGCAGCAGACCAGGGTTAAGGTGACGAAATCTCGCATGGTCTTTGTTTTCTTCAAGTGAATGCGCCAGTAATCTGTAAATAAGTTTGTTTGTTTATCAGCTCCCGAACTCATACACTTAAGCAAGTTTTTATGCGCCCGGATCGATAAATCCGGTTCGCATATTGTTTTTGTCCTGTCCTTCTGTCTGTTGTCAACTTCATCCTTCGCCGCAACTTTATAACCATGATAAAGATCGAGACTTCGTATTTGGTAAACTTAACCCACTGATTAAACTCTATCAAATTACACCAAAGTCAATGACCTTGACTGTGACCTATATGCTAAATATAGCGCTTTTTTAAGAACTTTCGCAATAACTTTTGAACACAGGCGCTTGTTTCATAGACTGAGCTTAGTTTTCTACTATATAATAACACAAGGTATCCATTTTTCTCGAGACCAACAATGTAGGTCACCAATTCAAACCCCTTTTTTATTTATTATCCGCCGCTAGCAACAAAAAACCCACATGTAATGGTTAGCGGAATTCCCCTTCTTGGACCTCATGTATATTTCCTTACCTCACCCCTTCGCGAACTTTGACATTGACCATAATATTACACGCTTCGTCAATCGAAAGAAAAAGTGCATCTCTAAACAGATCAGCACTTCTGGTTTGGCAATGGCGATATAAAACACAAGATCTCATTGGCTATTTGTACTTTTTGCTCTGGTGTAGAAAGGATTCTTAACAAAATATTTTTGCTTTAAGGGGATGAAGGATGTATGGTCACGTGACTCAGTTGATTTATGTCATAATCTCTGATAAAATATGTACAAAACGAGATTGAAACCACAGTACTTGTATAATTTTTTTGACTGTTTGTTTGCATTCACCATCTAGTATAAAAATATCTGAAAACATTCAAAATTTCTTGCAAATATTATCAAATTACGGAATAGATTAATCCACTCTGCCGTTTCCCTACTCTGCGCGTCCAGTGCGTCTTTGACGTCATAGTGGATCTCTTAGTTCAGTAAGATCATACACGGTAAAAACGGGTAGTATAAAATCATAGAAAACGGGCCATAATATGTACATGGTAGGGTATTTTGTAAATTTCAGAACGCAAAATTTTTTTTACATGGTTGTTGACGGAAAAATTCAGTGGGTTTGTCTTATTTCGCTTATTTCAGGAATGTGTGACGTCATAGTTGGGTTTTCCCGTACTCGAGAAATGTAAACATGACACATTTTTCTCATGATCATGACTCGTTTAACTTTGCCCCGTGCAATATTGAGCTCAGCTTCACCAATCGATATTTTTACAGTTAATCAATACAATGACGACATTGAACTTCGACGTAAATTTTCAAATATTGAATGATAGGATTTTTTGCAAATTAATTTTTTTATGATTTAAGTTGTCCTAAAAAAGTCGTAAATTTCCGTCTCTAGATGTAGTGTTACAAAAGAATCTTGCTTTTTTGAATTTTTAACGCTATTCATACTCTAAAATATTTGAAAAGACACATTTCCGCTGGTATATTTTTTATCTATGCCTATGGTGAAAAATTTCAATTATCGACAGAGTAATGGACCCAGAAACACAGAGAATAAAAACTCCGCTCAGACACTGTGGGATATGGTATTTGTCACTCAATATCTCAGAAATTAGTCTAGAAACCTATTGATATGTCTGCTTTATAGTATGTAGGACATACTAAATAAGATATATACAAAATATGAAAAAAATTAAATGACAGGTATTTTTTCAGCTAAAGGTCCTTCATCCCCTTAATATAACTATAAATTCATCTTAAAAATCACCACCACGTTGTCATCTTACAAAATATTTGACAGAAAACCTAGAACAATATAGATTTGCAAATTTGCGCCAAAATATTTTTTCTGTTTTTCTTTTGTGCCTTATACAGTTGCATGGAAAACTCCCGAGAGTACCAGTAGCCAATGAGAACTTGTGAATCATATCGCGGTTATCAAACCGGAAGTGCTGAGCTGTTTAGAGATGCACTTTTTCTTTCGATTGACGAAGCGTGTAATTTTATTGTCAATGTCAAAGTTCGCGAGTCGGTGAGGTAAGGAAATATACATTAGGTCCAAGAAGGGGAATTCCGCTAACCATTACATGTGGATTTTTTTATGCAAGCGGCGGATAATAAATAAAAAAGGGGTTTGAATTGGTGACCTACATTTTTGGTCTCGAGAAAGATGGATACCTTGTGTTATTACATAGTAGAGAACATAGTAGCTTACATAGTAAGCTCAGTGTATGAAACAAGCGCCTGTGCTTTTGAACCATCAAATGTAGACTTTATTTTTGGTTAGCATACTCCACTATTTAAGTTCTTTCAAATGACAGCAAGGCCAATAACCTCTTGGCCCTGACTGAGGCCTTGTTACTGAAAATTGCATTTTAGAAATTTGTTGCGACCAAGTGCTTAGTGTTTCACAAACACGCCTTGTTTAACATATAAAAGTTTTCATATCATGTTTTAAAACGTCGTATTAATAAATGCCATCATAATAATTAAACAACTCATAAATTTTACATAAATATACGCAAATGAATAACAAACAAATATCTTTGATAAACAGAATTATGAGAGAACTAAGGTTCTGACGATGTAGTAGCTCTAGATTTTGTATCTATAATAAATATGTATTATGTTTTTATTTTCTTAAAATGTACACAATTTCACTGAAATCAAAAGCAAACTGCACGCTAAGAATTTTTTCTTTTCAAAATACATAGTGAAAAATTGGTTATTATAAATATCCGTGGTAACCAATTAATGAAAATTATGTACCCATCCATTTATAATCTTTAAATCAAATGCAAGATTACCAACAAGCTTAAAAAAAACCGTCGTTCGGCAATTACGACTGCTAAAATCTAATTACAACATAGAAAAATTGAAAACATTTATAAGAAAAAAGTGTAACATGTTTTGTTTTCTTTTTCGTCTTGAAAATATACACTGTATCATTATTTAGCAGAGCAAAAAAGATTATTCACTCAACTATTTTTTTTTCTTACTTAAACTTTGAAATAAACATCTGACTTTATTATTGGCGTTTACCAAAAAAAAAACCCATTAATTTAGCCTATCCGACTTTTATCGTTTTGACGATGTTTGTTCCATTTCACAATTTT